TTGTGTCAGTCCATGTCACTGAGGGCTTTCCTCTTGTCCCCTGCCACTCCACTTTACCAAGCATGACATCCTTCTCCAAGGATTGGTCTCTCCTGACAACATGCCCAAAGTATGTAAGGTGACGTCTTTCCCATTCCTGCCTCCAAGGAGCACTCTGACCTTACCTGTTCTGATACAGATCGGTTTGTCCTTTTAGCAGTCCATGATACTTTCAATATTCTTCTCCAGAACCACAATTCCAATGCATCAACTAATCTATCGTTTTCCTTGTTACTGTTTTTCTATTGCTGTGTCCTCAGTACCTAGGTAGCTCAATAGACAGCTGGAATGGATGAATGCAAAGGTACCTCCCAACCTCTCAGAACCTTGGAAAGAGTGAAAGGTTGTCTGGCAACTCGTATTCTAGACTGAAGAAAAGAATAACTTCAAACACCAGGGATACACTAATTGTACTAACTCCCCCCGCCCCTTTTATACACTTCCCTACATTTCAATAGCAAAAAATCCTTGCTCCTGACCATCATTGTGAGACGTGAACGGTTTTGTTTGGCTTTTGAAATTGTCTCACATTTTTGTCTTCATTGCAGGCAGCGGAAGCTGCTGTCAACGCCCCTGAAGAATCCCTATGAAGAGTCGAGCGGGGATGTGAGCAGCAGCACGCCCCCACCTGACGAGGATGGGGCGTCTTCTCGCCCCCAGCCTTGGGTAATGCAATCAAAGCAGACGGAGCACAGACCTGGATTAATATTAATCCCACTTTGGGTTTCTTTACTCTTCGTTGAGTTCAGGGAAGCCCGAATCTATCGGAACTCCTGGCTGCTGTTAACATCAGCCCAAACCCCAGACACGAGTAACCTTTTGTGTTTTTCTCCCTCCAAAAGTGTAGTGGAATTTGTTTTAGGTGCAAAGACCTCTTGCTTGCTCCATGACAAACACATCTTCCCTGGTTTTTCAAATATTGATGGTGGTTCTTGGTTTCTTACTCAGTGTTTGTACGTTTATTTTTATATTACTATTGTTTTATCCTTACCACTTCATTTTGTTTTTGTTCTTTATTGTTTCTGTTGGGTTTACCAGTTTGTGAAGCACAGGAGTGTATGCATAGAGCTAATAACTGATACAAGAGTTTGTAGGAGATGTAGGGGAGGGTGTGTGTGTGTGGGAGAAATAAGGAGGGTGATTGCATTTCGGGAGTAAACAGTGAAGGTGGGAGGGAGAGAGAACACTAGAACTGAAGGTGATGACACAACTCATTTTAAAGGGGATTTACTCATGGGGGAAAAGAAAATGCTTTGAAGTTGATTGTGTTCATGATTGTACAATTCTCCTTGATATGATTGAACTATTGAATTGTGTGATGTGTGGATTAAGTGCCAATGAAACATTTTTTAAAAGTGGGCGGAGGCGCATAGTAGAATGGGCAATTCAAGACACTTCTCTAAATCACCTAGGTCCGTGACCGATCTTGAAACACTCAAAGGCAGGCTTGGCAGAGGCGCAGGAAAGCTGGACTACGAATAAGGAAGAGAGAAGAATTGCCGCATTTGAATTATGGTGCTGATGAAAAATATTGACTATCCCACGGCTGCCAGAAGGATGTGTGTCGAAGGATGTCGAGCTAGAATGCTTATTTTAGAAGCGAAGATGTTGCTCACTTTAGACACATCTTCAGAAATGATCGATGGCTACAAAAAGACACCGTATTTGGTGAAGTAGAGGGTCAGTGAAAATGAGGAGAAACTGACCTACCCACGATTGGGAGGTTGGTGGCGAGCTCAACGGCATTTCATTCTGACTCACGGAGGAGTGCCGTGAGTTAGGGCCAACTGGACAACGAACTACAAGGAGCGCTCTTGGGATGGTGAAGGGAGTTGTCTTTTCTAGAAAGCTCAGGAAGAACTTCTTATCTGGTTTAGTGTTTGCGATTGGTGTTCTTCGTGACATGAAGGTCCATAGAAGATCCAAAACTGTTGGTAAATAGGAAAGAGCTCTCAGGAAGCAACTAGGAGAGAAGGAACGGCACTGTGTGGCATCTTTCGGCATCATTTCTCCCATTCCCAAATTCACCTTCTCGCTGTCCCGTGTCAGAGTTCTCACTAACAAGTGATCATCTCTCCTTGCCTGTGACAGACATTTCAAGTATACTTATTTTGTGTGTGTGTTAAAATTGAATGCTAAACTAAGACAGAAAAATGGTGTATTAGTCTGGGGACTTTAGAGAAACAAATCCACAGATACTCATGTATAAGAGAGAGTTTTATATAAAGGATAAGTGCACATCAATAAAACATCCCAACCCAGTGCTCCCCAAGCCCACAGGTCCAACATTAATCTGTATGTCGACACCAAGCCACAAAGTCCTCCTCCATCTCATGATGCCGACTGCAGGAGGAAAGCCGAATCAGTGAATGTGTAAGCATCTCGGCACTGGCAGGGGTTTCAACATGGCTGCTCCAGTGTAGGTCCATCCAGCTTCTCCTTGGGGTTGTCTCCCAGGAAGTGAGCCTTGCCAGCTGAAGCCGGGAACAGGCTAAGGCAGCTGCACCCTGGTCCGACCATCACAAAGCAAGAGACGAGAACTAGAAAGGCGAGGCTCACTTAGCCATTTATCCCTCCGCCCTTCAATTAACCCCACATATGTTTATCCGCCAGGTTGGCACAATAAACTAACAACCTCAGTTAGCTTCCCACTATTTGTCGGACCCTGCTTTTTCTTCAATATGGTGAGCAGTTTGAATTAGATGGTCTCCAAGATCTCTGTGTGACTACAGATTTCTTAAGTCTGTATTGCTGGGTGGATTTAGCTGTAAAATGTCCTCAGTTCTTTGAGGCCTTGTGGGTTTCAAATTACCCAAATTGCCCTCCTCACCTGGGTGGTACCAGAGGTACCAGCCAAAAGGCTGCCTGTTTGAACCCACTTAGAAGTACTCAGGAAGATGACAGGGAATGTGCTTCTGAAAGGCCATGTCCTTGAACACTCTGTCAATACTTCCCACAGCTGGAATGGCAATGAGTTGGAATTACTTGCAGGCAATGAATAATACTTACCAGTCTCTACAGTACTCCCTTCATATTTGGGGCAGCACATTTAATTCATCTTATGTAAATCAGAAGAGAGCAGGAGAAACACAATCTGTGTGTTTTCAGTGTTTTGAAAAACCAAAGACATTGGCTGCTGTCATGAGCAGCTTGTGGGCGCAGAGCTATGTTTGGCGGCCGGAGGCTGCTGAGCACGGCCCTTCCCAGTCATCACAGCTGTCCTCCACAGCAACTGCTGCTGCAGATCCTCCTGAGAGCAGGCGGGAGTCAGAACCCAAACTAGGCAGAGGGGCAGCAGAAACAAATCGGGTTCCATCAGCTGCCTTTCCCATCTCTGGAATGCCCCTAGCATGGTAGGGGGGTGGGGGTGAGGCAGAGATTCTACCACGTGGCAATGTCAGGGGAGGTGCCATCAAAATGTCTGCAGAATTTCTGTTCCATTTTTAGCAGAAATGTATTGAGTTTTATAAAAAGATCCCTGTAGTTAGTTAAAACAACAAGAGCATTTTTGTAAGTCCGCTTTGCGTGTGTCACTACAAGGCTAAAACTCGAGGCTAATCTATTTTTTGAACCTTGTGTTCTGGTCAGAGCTGCCATGATTACTGAATTACAAGGATGCTTGAAATTGCATGGTTTCATCTGTTGCTCGCTCTGTAAGTACCACTGACATTTTTGTTCCAGTGGGTTTTGCTTGTCACTGTGTTTTGCGGTGTCATTTTGCTTCCAGTGTGTTCATAGTTGGTGATTATGGTGATTAGAAAATCTTCTGGTGTTTTAGCTACAATATTGTGATACATTGGATTTGTCAACTAATATTGATAAAAATTCGAAACTGAAGCAAAATCTAAAGGAAAAGGAAGAGAAAACCAAAAAATAGTCTTCTTTAGGGTTACTAATAACAATGCTTAAGCCAATCACGTAATTCAGCGGTTCTCAACCTGTAGGTCGCAACCCCTTTGGGGGTCAAACGACCCTTTTACAGGGGCCACCCGATTCATAACAGTAGCAAAATCACAGTTATGAATTTTGTAATTTGAAGTAGCAAAAAAAATACTTTTATGGTTGGAGTCACCACACATGAGGAACTGTATGAAAGGGTCGCAGCATTAGGAAGGTTGAAAACCACTGATGTAATTCAATGTAGGAAGATTGTACAACATCTATAAAAAATATTCATATACCAAAAAAATTCATATATCTAAGAAATATTATACTGAAGCAATAAACAATTGTGTTTATCACATTCTATGATTTTAATAGATAGTAGACATTAGTATGTGGTCTGGTATGATTTTGAACTGATTCTGGCAGTGAGGTTTTTTTTCTTTTTTTAATAATTAAATCATTTTATTGGAGGGGGCTTGTAAAATTCTATCACAATCCACACATACATGTCAAGACATACATTTGTTGCCATC